AAAAAAAAAAAAAAAAAGAAACAGGGTCTTGCACTTGCTCAGGCTGGTCTCCAACTCCTGAGCTCAGGGGATCCACCCACCTCCTAGAGTGCTAGAATTACAGGCCTGACCCACTAGGCCCCTCCCCAAGTCACTCATTTAATTTGTAACTGGACATGTGCAGAACTCACACAGGGCTATGAAGTCAAGTGGACAGATGTGAGACTGATTTTGGAGGGCAGGTTGTCAAGGAAACTTTACAGCACATTTCATCCTCAAAGATGGGATATTAGCCTGGTAGAGTTGGTGGGAGAGGGATGCCAGCAGCAGGAACAGAGTGAGGGGCCAGCCTAGTTCACGGAAGAGATGTAAGTGCGGCTGCAGTTTGGTGCTGCAGGTGGGAGGCTGGGCAAAGGTGAGAAAAGCAGGTTAGATAGGCCCTGAGCCCAGCCCTACAGCCTAGAAGTGTCCTATACAAGGAGGATGACCAGGTATGCGGATCAGCTGTCACTTGGTTGCAGTGTCCAGAAGGAGTAAGAGATAGATGGCTGAGATGAAGCTCCTGGTATAGAGAGGGCACTTTAAGCCTGGGGAGACAGCATGACAGGGGAGAAGAACGAGGACAAGGCAGGGCCCAAGACCTCAGTTAATAGGACTTTGTTTATGAATCCCATGCCATGCTAACCTGGCAGCAAATGCAGCATTTTAATCCTGCAAGCCCAACTCTTTTTTTTTTTTTGCAGTTTTTGGCCGGGGCCGGGTTTGAACCCGCCACTCCCAGTATATGGGGGCCGGCGCCCTACTCCTTTGAGCCACAGGCACCGCCCCAAGCCCAACTCTTCTCTGCCTTTTCCACCTCTCTGCCTGCCCTACTGACATTTGTGGCTGGGATTTAAGGCAGTAGGTGGTCAAGCGCCTCATATGGCTCTTTGTTTCCTTTACCCCTTTACAACAGAAGGGCGGGAAAGATGTCTATTCGATAAAGTGCTTCCCCGAGCTAAACAGTCTACCGCAGGAATCATCCTTGCCCTACATTACCAAACTATTTACACAAGAGCTCAGAGAGGTGTGCGGCTCCACTGAGGCCACCCAGCGGCCCAGCTGGCCCCGCCGCGGTGGGATCCGGGCCTGTGCAGCCCAAGCTCCGCACCTTCACAGCCACGCAGCGTTTTGGAACATGCAGAACCCAACAGCCAGGAAGCGGGGAGGGCCAGGACTGAGGCAGGAGCGCTGAAGAGCGCGGGCACTTAGCGGTCAAGCGCCAAGTACCTCTCCTGACGCTAGTGGGGACGGTCACCCATCGGCTGCGACCCCCAAGGCGGATCCAAGGGGGAAGGGCCAGACCATCCCGCTGGGAAGGAGAGGACAGCCTTGGCTGAACTCGCGGCACAGTAGGGCGGGAGGTGGCCCCGCGGCACCTCGACTACACATCCCGCGGAGCCACGGAGACAGAACGCCGCCTGCAGCCCGGGATGCCCGGAGCCGCCGATGGCGCGAAGCCCCATTGAACGACAGCAATTCAAGCCTATCAGAGGACAGTGTTGGCAACTCCCTGCCCAATGGAAATTTTCTCTATTCTGAGGGATGTTCTGACATGGTAACCGGCAACCCAATGGGAAAGGTGGAAATTTCCAGAAAGAACAGGACCAATGGGCGCGGCCGGCGGGGCCACGATGGACGGACCCAGAGACCAATCCGTTTCTTAGAAGTCCATTCCTCCCTCCATTCGGGGAGCCTGAGATAGGCGGAGCTCGAGGTGCGGAGGAGGCAGGGTTGAGGGAATTACTCTCCGCTGTCCAATGAGAGGGAAGCAAAGATGATAGGCTGGACTTGAAGCCAATAGTAGGGGAGCACAGAGAGCCCCCTAGAAGTGTTCGACCAGTGAGGCGGCGAGGAAGGGGCGGGAGCCGGGGGTCCCGGCAGCTTCTAGTAGGTTCCAGAAGGCGGCGCGTGCAGTTGGGAACGCGGAGCGGACGGATTCGATTCAACGGGGTTCCGGGCCGGGCTATGGAGCAGGTGAAGGGGGAGGGGCGGCTGAGGCCCCAGGACCGCTCGGGGATCGGCGGAGGCTAGGCCGCAGTGGAGGGGCGGAGCGGGCATCCGATTGAGGCGGTCAGGGCGGAGTACCGGGCCGGACGGGGCTGCAGTGGGGAGTGGAGTGTGTGAGGGCCGCGGCTGGCGGGCAGGAGAGGGGTTTGTAGCGAGGCCCGGCCTCGGGAGCGCCCATCTCTTCCTGGCTCGGCGAGGAGGCCCCAGTTCGGCGTGACCCTGCGCGGCGGGAAGAGGGGCAATGGCCGGGCCCAGGAGGTGACCGAGATGTGGCTTCGGGCTAAGCGGGGGATGGTGCGGCCGCTCCGGGAGGGGGAGAGGTGGGCGAGGGGCCGGAGTCACCAGAGAAGTGGCGGTCTGGGAGAGCAGAGACTCCCGACGGAGAGGCCGACTTGGCCACGGTTAACTTGGAGGAATCCCGGGAGTAGGGGCGGTGATACACTGGGAGTAGGTGAGGCTCTTAGCAGCCTGGGACCCGGTTGTGTTAAGTACTACTTTTCTGCGTCTGGGAAGGTCGGGGTGGGAGAGTGTTGAGTGGAGGTTTGACGAGCAGCAGACCGACTTTGCCTGATGCAGAAAAGGGGAGGGTGCCGTAAAAGTCCTTGGAGTGAATTGCGTCTCTGCCAGTGTTTTACAAATGTATATGCGGCCCCTCCCCCTCTGAGTGTGATCGCGTGATTGTAGAGGGACTGAGGGCTGTCGGTTTCTGGTTACTTGGGGTGGAATTAGTGACTTTAAACAATTTGGATTCTATAGATGAGCAGCACGAAGTTTTGTGCGTCCGCTCAGCATTTTGAGGGGGCCAAGTTTGAAGCTGCTGCTGCTGCTTGCTCTCAGTAACTTAGTATGTTCTAAGGGCCCTGTAGTTATCAAAGGCCTACAGAGGTTTTGTTCCATTGGAAGCTGTCATTGAGCTGTAATGATTTGTCGGAAATAAAGAAAAAACAGCTTACTTTTTTTGGTATGATTTAAAGCTTAACCCTTGCTGTAGTATAGCAATGGCTCCTTAGGCAAAGCTGGGACCTTTCTGCTTACTTAAAGAGAGTGGAAATGGAGAGGTTAGTAAATTTTTTGTGCCCTTGTAATAAATTCTATTAAACAGGCTATATAGTATAGGCAAAGCACAGATTCTGGAATAAGACCTTGCTCTTTTGCATTTAAGAAAGGGTTCCTGCTGTTATCAAAATAGTTTTTTTAGGCTCGGCGCCTATAGCTCAACTGGCTAAGGCGCCAGCCACGTACACCTAAAAAGGTGGCGGGTTCTAATCCCCAGCCCGGACCGCCAAACAACAATGACGGCTGCAACCAAAAAATAGCCGGGCGTTGTGGCGGGCGCCTGTGGTCCCAGCTACTTGGGAGGCAGAGGCAAGAGA